ATAAGACTTATAGGAATTTATACTGAACTTTTAGGCGATATGGCTAAGTTTCATTAAATACTGTTTATTTAAGAAGAAACTTTGGAGTTTGCAAACTTTCTCCAAAATTTTCGATGTTCAGCATTTGATGATATGCCTTTGAGCAGTTGACATGTCTTTATCTCATAATGATTCAACTAAGCTGTTCTTAAGCGCTCACACTTTGAAAACGACTACGCTTTGATCATTGCTCTCAGTACAAATACGCAATCTGAGAACTTTATCATCACCGCCACGTTTACTTAAAGCGCGTCTCCCACCTTTCCATCTCTTAGTTTCCGACATTATGACACGTTTTCAAGGAAAAGTCGCCATTGTCACCGGTAATAAATCCTCTTTTTTGCCTTATATAAATGATATAAATTGGTTTTTTTTTAATCTCAGGTTCCTCTTCTGGAATCGGAGCTGCTACAGCTGTTTTATTCGCTAAAGAAGGTGCAAAAGTAACAATTACTGGAAGAAAGCAGGATGGTCTTGAGGTTAGTATTTTTGTATGCAAAACTTTTCTTAAATAAAAACGCGTTTTAAAAAAATTCCGTTTATAAATGATTGAAAAACCCGCCCTACTGTTATGCGACTGGGATTCAGATTGTGTGAAAGCGCTAGTTTTTTTCAAGTGATGCGAGCAAGATGATTTTATTGAATTTTTTAAGAGTACTTTTCTCTTGAAAACCGTAAAGATTTTCCACCAATCTGAATAGACCATTTGAAATTTAAAACAATTTAAGTCTACAAAGTACCCACGATTTGCTACTATTGAATGCTACAAAAACTTTCTAATGTACCGAGGTTTTGAGAGATGGAAAAAAACTTTTAAACATTTTCTGAGGACTTTGGCAATTTATTGAAAATGAAAATCCTTCGCTAATGATAATAACCTTCCAATTTACGCTTATAGGCCACCAAGAAAGCCATGCTTGAAGCTGGGGCTAAGGAGGAGGACGTGAACGTGGTAAATGCAGACGTAACAGATGCACTTGGAAGAGAACAAATTGTCTCAACTACCATCCAAAAGTTTGGTCATTTGGATATTCTGGTTAGTCCTCCTTTCTCAATGAAATGGCTCCACTTTGAAATTGGCTAACTTATTTTGCTATTGCTTTCAGTTTATTTATAAAATTACAACATTAAAAAGAGTTAAAGATTTGCTTTTCAAAAGGTCTAGAAATGACTTTAATAGGAATTTCCTAAGCAATAAAAAGTTATATGTAATAAAAATCATTGTAGATATATATCCTTAGGTCAACAATGCTGGCGCAACATTTCGCGATGATGATGGTTCCATGGGAATGACTGCTAGCACAGATATCCTTGAGAAAACCATGAAGCTGAATGTGTACAGGTAAATCTAACTTACCCAGTGCTACGAATACATATCTTTACTCGATTTGCTACAGCGTAGTTGACATGATCAAATTGGCTCGTCCATATCTGGTAAAGTCAAAGGGTGAGATTGTGAATGTTTCCAGCATTGCAGGG